GAATAACTAGGTAAATAAACTATTATTTATTAGGTAAATAAATGAAGAACAGCTGCATTAAATTGAAATCTTGAACAATTTCTGAATAATGAAATCTAAAATAACAGTAAAATAATCCTATCAACATCAGAATATAATTCTAGACTTCATTGATAAGGATCCAAAAGAAGATAATGGAAACAGACACTTTTTAGAAGTGGAAGAAAAATTATCTAAAGTTATGATTTCACCCTATGTAAACATAAATGGATCCAAACATGCTCACAAGGGACACAATAGCAACAATAATGAAATTATGATTAAAATATTTCATAGCTCTCTTTATGTTTTCCCCACATATGAGGTAGATGCATTACATGACATAATTCATTATTGTCACAGTAGCCCCATATTACTGATTATTTATACCAAATGAAAGAGAACCTCCACAAATACAATGAATCTTTGGTTGAATGCAGTATGCTCCACAAAAAGATATAAGGTTATTGCCATTCATTAAAAATACAAATGATCCAAAAGGCAAAAAGCATTAGTAGGGAAAAATATATATGAAATAAGATGTCAAGAGGTGTAAAGTGCAATTGGTTACTACATGCAGAGGAACTGTTAAATTTAAAAAGCAATAGAGGACATCTCTCTGCAATATGACAGATTGATATTTGATCACAGAAAGGTTTTACACCCCAATATATCTATACATATATAAAATATCCAAATAGAAACCACCAAACTTATCAAAAAATTATTCCTCTGAAAGAATTAAATAACAAATGAATACAGTCCCAATAAAAGCAAAGAACTTGCACAAACAATTCTGAATTCCACAGTGGGGAAAATGGCTCAGAGTATCAAAAATATATTCAGTCTCGCTAGTAATGAAGAATTAGATATAAAATGCATAGATTTCTCCTAATCAAATAAAACATATTTTGTTTATGTGAATACCCAGCATGGGATAAGTTACTGTGAAATGTTTGTCTCATGAACAATTGTTGTAAGGTAATAGTTGTAAGTAATTGGCAAATCTGCTAGTTAAAAATAGGAGACTCAAATTAAAGAAAAATGTCTTCACTTTATAACACTTACCTCCATACTTAATACTCAATTTCCCCATTCTTGAACTACAAAACTGGCTCGTTATGTTTTAATTTTATTGGAAATACTCTATACAACTACTCCATTCTGTCCCATCTAATTAATCTTCCATTCCTATCATAAATTGTCAACAATGAGCCATACATTTGTAAAGTATAAAACATAGTTTTATAAAAAATATATTTTAAATAAGCTGTCAGTTAATTAGTCAAGGGAAGAAACAAACATAATCATTTGTCAGCACAGGGCCAGGCTGGCTTTGTTCTCAGGTGACATCAAGTCAATTTTTTCAGCTTCCTTTCTTGCTGAACCTTTCCTAAAGCACCTATGAGGGTCTCAGACTCACCTGGATGGGGTCTCTGAGAACAGGACTTCTATATGGAGGTCTAGATCCCTCTCTGATGGTTGGTGATGAAGTCTGAAGTTCTGCCTCACACAAGACAGCAGGAAGATCTGAAGTGTCACTCTCCTAGCCAGGCTTAGGACTCCAAAAGTAGCTAACATGTCCTGTATAGCCTAAGATTTTATATCTGAGAGGTAGCATTAGAGGATCTACTTAAAGCTTCATATATCTGCTCATTAGGCGATTTTCTCCTTCTTACTCCAAACTCTGAGCATCTGATTTCCCTGTGGGACCTTGGTCTGAGCAGAAAGAAAAAATTTTGCTAATTTTATGTTCCCAAGAGACCAGATTAGCAATCAGGTGAAATCAGCCTTCAATACTGCTTCTCTTTGAAATGTGCTCTCCTACTGACCTCAAACTTCCTTAGCATTTTCCCAATTCTAAATTACAATTTTCTTCAAATCTGAGGTCCCTGACTTTGCTGAACTCCTTGGAACTCCAAACACTAACTCATAAAGAAGTTATGCACAGCTCCTTATATATGCAGGAAATTATTCTTCCCACTTCATCAAGGGAGACAATTGTGTTCAAGTGCTACGCAACCACATGATGTTACTATAATCCTTGGCTTCATAATATTTTTATACACCACTTTGTACTTTCATCCTTGAAATACAAGTTAGGGTAATAGCTAAAACTTGGAAACAGCCCAAATGCCCATCAACTGGAGACTGGATAAAGAAAATGTG